CAATGGTTCGACAAATTTCGTTCTGGAGGTTTCAGCCTTGAAGGTGAACCTCATAGCGGTCGACCTAAAGCAATATCTGACGAGGATTTGTAGGGGTTTTTGGAAGCTCACCCATCCCAAACATTCGACAGATTGCAGAAAAGCTAGGCTTTGGCAAATCCACTGTTGCAGATGGTCTGAAACGTATTGGAAAGGTGAAAAAACTCGATATGTGGGTGCCCCACAATTTGAGTGACCGGCAGAAATTGGCACGTCTCGCGGATTCCTCTTCACTGCTTTTGCTTTTCTCTTCACAACAGAAACGACCTGTTTTTGGACCGAATTGTCACCTGTGATGAAAAATGGGACATGTATGATAACAGGAGACGTTCCGTACAGTGGTTGTATTTCGACGAAACACCGAGGTAATTTTTAAAGCCGAACCCTCACGAAAAAAAAGATTCTGGTCACGGTTTGGTGGTCATCGGCTGGTGTGATCCACTATAACTGTTTATCATCAGGCCAAACCATTACAGCAGAACCCTACTGTGAAGGAATCGACGAAATGTACCGAAAATTTTGTCAGCTGCAGCCAACATTTATCAAAAGGAAGGGTCCGATTCTTTTGCATGACAACGCCCGCCCACACGTTTCACAAATCGCTATCCATGAATTGAACGAATTGGGGGTTGAAGTTCTACCTCAACCGCCATATTCTTCAGTCCTTTCGTCAGTCGACCATCACATTTTCAAACATTTTCAGATTCCCATCAATCAGGAGCAGGCAAAAAAGCCCTCGTGGATTTCGTGAACTCTCGACCACCCAGTTTTTTTTTGATGGGATTTTCGACTGCCATCACATTGGCAAAAGTGTGCCGATTCGAATGGTGCTTATTTTAAAAAAATCCGATGAGTATTGAAAGTTATGATCGTTTCAAGTGAAACACTCGAAACGTGCAGAACTTTACGGACAACCTAATATTATCGTTGATTCCCTTGCTCCTTTTTGAAAGGTCTATGCTTCTACAGGTCTTTGTAAGATTGACTGGGCAGCATTTGAATGGATCAGCTCATCAATTGTCAAGGATGAAGGAGCCACAGAGGTTGATGGAAGCGTCCAATCTGCAGGCTTCACCTTGGTCCGTTTTCAGTGGGGCTTGCATTAAGTTCTTTTTTGTTGAGTTGACTGGTAGTGTAATCCCGGTACAGAATCGTGGCGTAACTTATATTTAGTTTTCTTCCTGCCCTTTCTTTTTTCCAGAAATGAGTATGGGTCATCTGATCACTGTCGATATACAGGAGGGGGGCAAAAAAAAAGACTTTTTTCTTCCTCGATTTTCGAGGCGCTATCAGTTACACTTCAGTAAATTTTATCGGACATTTCTACCACCATATTAAAGAGCACATCAAATACTATCATGATACTCCGCCACAGCCTTCTGGAGGAGCGCCATCGAAAGATTCTGCCACGCGACCGTCAGTGGGTGCGTGAGTTCAGCGAGATCGTCGATTTCTCCGCCACTATAGCCACCCTATTGAACTCCTCCAAACCAGGTAATTGAGGGGTTTAGGCCAGGTTACCTGCTCAGATATTCCACCTTATTCAGGTAATCAACGCCTTCATTCCAAGTAGGCAAGAGCTTTCCCAACGCCTTTGATTCCATGTGGTGTCACCAATCCTGTAGCAGTACAAAGTTTCAAGAAGGTACGGGCGACGACATGTGGAGAGGATATTCTTCTCGAGTTGCTCGCTGTAACCGCCAGCGCTCACCTTTAGTCCGGGCCCCAAGAAGAAAATATCGGTCTATCCATTCCTGGTACGTCCGGTACCACTATCAACTGGCGTCTTGGTGACTGTGGTGAAGATGATGGTCCTAGACCGTTGGCGACGTTCGGAGCTGCTCGATGATGGAGGTCATTCAGATCGAGAGTACTGCTCTCCAGGTAGCTACTTATGGGTGACTCCATACTAGAAGTTTCGCATCTGTTCGAAGGTGACATGAATTCCGAAGGCCTTCCCCAGTCAGGTTGCGGCTGGAGATGACTTCATATTTTGGTGTACATTAAGGCGATGGACGAGAGCCAGCTCCTGCTTATGGAGGAACATCTTGGGTATCTTTCGCCCTGGTACCCGTATCCACGTCTCTCTGGGCAGCGTAAACTTTGCTGATATGTGTCTTGGTCAAAATGTCTTTTTTTTTGCCCCCCCCCCTGTATATCATTACGGCTCACCGGTTCACAATGTTAAACGTGTGAGTGCTGTGAGGCTGCGGCATAAAAGCCGTCATTTTGAGTGGGTTAATGCTGCCATGGTGTCATAAAGGCACCTGGATAGCGTGAGGTGCGTATTCAAGTCCCGCTGGGGGTCAGACTCTTCCCCATAAGTCAGCATTCTCGAGAGCACATTGTCCCTTAGCACGTACAATAGCAGCCAAAAGTTAAAAAACTTTGTTTGTTTTCGTTTTAGTGCGGCACTGATGTTGTGTCACATTTCCATGTTAGCACCCAACTAGTAGTAGTATGCACCAAAACGACTAGAACATGCGATGTGCAGCGTTATCCCTCGAAAATCGGAAGCTTGAATTAGAGGATACAATTTATTTAGCGCGTCAGCAGTTTGGAAATTCCATTTCCCCGTATCATGCCGGTTTCTTACGGTAATAGTATGCGTTTTTTGTCATACTCGTTTTGGTTTTTGCGTACATCGTGGCTTCCTGAGGGGATCGGACAAAATCAGCCGTTAGCTGTAGAGGAGGCGACTGTATGAACCATTAATCCAGAATACCTTTCCCCAGCCTTCCCCTCAGAAAGCCACGCTGGGGGAACGTTTGAGCCTAACCTACATTTATTAGGGCGATACAGAGGATTTAACATGAACCTGTTTTTCCTCGCCAATGGGGAGACTTCCCTCTACTGACCATCACCGTGAAGTGCGACAGAATAAGAAAAAAACTGAGCCCAAAACTGATACTTACAGGGAGAGGTCCACGTCGAAGTGGACAACCGTTGTTAAACTTATATCGTTGAACATGGTTTTCATCGCTGATCACTGATTTGCTTTCAGAACTTGCCAAACGATTTTCTGAGTGTCTTTATGAAAATTTCTCGAGATCCCTGTGCATAGGCACGTTGGCATAAGTGTGTCACTTGCTGCGCACGCCACAAGCGTTTTGACGCAGATCCAACTTTATAGCTGTGTTGAGGTGTCCAACTTATTCCCGATACAAATTTCTTGATAAACCTTAGATTCTTTCACTTCTTGAGAAGAAAGATACTCATGGATGGATGACCACCAACATTCTCGGAGCTGCCCCTTTGGAATGAGGTCTGCTTCTAATTATTGGAAGAGTAAAGCAGTACCGAAGTCGTCAAATGTAATGAAATAGCAAGGTGAAATTTAAGGGAGGAGCATATCTGCGTTTGATTGAATTTGAACATAGAGCTTCACCCCATGGCTACCTCAGTTTTTCTAAGTTAGCTAGAAACCTCGGGTTTACTGAGAAATTGGACTGAAAGGTAGTCTGTCAACCTTAATACGAATAGCATCTTGTGAATTGCGCTACGGGCACCTTTAGAGTGAAGCCCTCCTCCAAATCGCGGAATTTCACAGTGACTCGCAGTTGTCTCATTTTTGAGGTAAATGTATTACGTTGGCAGAAAAGTATTTTTTCAATTTGCAATTTTCAGTTTCATTTTCTATATAACGTAACATTTAATCAAGAATGTAATCACCGTCATTAGCAGTAACCTTGTACTAGTAGGCAGATCCTCGATCCCCCTCTCCCAGAGCTGGAATCTGGAAGTCGAAGAACTCGATGGCTGCCGAAATTACATCGTCATGTTTATCAAAAGTTTTTTTACACACACGAGAAAGCCTTGAGCGGTCTGAACAAATGACAGTCTGACGGCGCATGGTCTGGAGTAGGGTGGACGTGCAGTTGGATGCCGAGCTCCATCAATTTTTCACGGGTTGTTGAAGCGACATGAGGCGGAGCGCTGTCATGGATAATGTGGACGGTCGCTCTTCTTGTGCGCTTTTCTTTCACAGTATCATCCGATTTGAGCTGATCAGCATACACGGGAGCAGTGATAGTCCTGCCCTGCGGTAGCAACTCATAGTAAAGCATTCCTTTGAAATCCTAAATACGAGAGCATATCTTTCTTGGGTATAGGTCGGACTTAGGCTGCGTTGGCGGTTCTTCACCGGCCCCGATTGATGTAGGCATCGTAGAGGATCTCAGCTCCAGTAATCAGGTCTTCAAGAAACTCCTTGCAATGCGGCTGGAAGAGAAGAGATTGAACGACAGTCAGGCTCCTCATGCCGTCGGTCAACTGATTAGATATCCATTTCGTCAAAACCTCTCGGCATCGAAGGGCGTGAAGGCGGTTTTGAACCGTTGTATTGTGGCGCCACTCGTAGAAAAATGTTTCTCGAATATTGATGTTGGTAATTTCGGCTATGTAATGCTTAATGAAAGTGAGATGGTTCATATACCTCATAGGGGCGAAGCTCCGTGAATGTTCTAGATTATTCACAGGTATGCTCCAATCCTCGGCATCCTTCTGTGTTAAATAGCAACTTGAAAAAAAAATCGGAAAATACTTCTTTGCCAACATAATACTTCAGCGTGGCGAAGTACAGGGCGAGGCGCGCGACAAAGCCTTCATGACTTTGTTCAGATAAAAGCTTTTCAATTTTGAAAAGCAAAAATGAGTCTTCTTCATTGGCTGAACTTCCAAACGCGTGATCTAAGGGGGAACAAAAAGTCAGCAAAAGAGATAAGATAGGGATTTTCACAGTGAACTGACTTGCCTGCAGCAGATTCCGTTCTGAATGCTTCTGGCTTTTTATTATGAAATAGGATGAATTTTTTTTGGACAAATTCCACTTCATTTCATGTTTTTGAGCCTCTATGTGGAAAACTAGCTTCACCTCATCCATTAATTCCTTATCTGGAAATTTCATCCCGTACTTTAGCTCGGGATGTTGCTGGGAGGTCAGCAGTCAGTGAACGCAATAGAGCAAGATCACCCCTTCTGCCGCACCCACATCCCCCCCCCACCCCGTTCATCTCGCGTGGTCCACCATAGGCGATTATGAGAAGGTGCTGAGTGAGGCCAATGGAAGGCAGGGGTAGCCGAGTGGTTAAGAGTGTAGACCCACGTTCACACCTTGAGCCACGAGTTCAATCCCTGTCGAGGCACAAATCAGCCTTGTAAAAATTGCAAAAATGGGGACGATACCAGCGTCAGGCCAGGTTGACAGGCCGGCTGATGAAAACCCGTCACAACAACCATGACAAGTCGCAATAGAATGTGTTAATGCTAGGACGTCACCCAGAAGTGGCGCGCAGAACCCTCGCCTGAGTTCTGTGGTCAGTGCGCGAGGGCTACCGAGGGGTGAACGACCTCGGCCAAAGAAGGTAGTTCGAATTGGGACCCTGGACGTCTTATCGGGAAGTCTCGTGAGGTTGCCGACCTCCTGAGACGGAGGAATATCCAAGTCCTATGCCTTCAGGAAACGTGATGGAAGGGTGCGAAGGCCCGCGAGATTGGAGAAGGCGTCAGATTCTTCTACAATGGAGCAGACAGCAAACGGAATGGCGTGGCCATAGCGGTGGCAGAATCCCTGAAGTACTTCGTCTCCTGTGTGAACAGAAACAGTGATCGGATCATGGGAGTGAGAATGGACACGAAGGAAGGGTTCTGGACCGTACTGTCCGTGTTCGCACCACAATCCAGCTGCTCCGAAACGGAAAAGGATGAGTTCTACCTGACCCTGAATGAGGCCATAAGATCGGTTCCGGAAGATGAAACCTCACGATAGCTGGGGATCTGAATGGCCATGTGGGAAGTGACAGAAGTTGTCTAGAAAGGGTGCATGGAGGCCAAGAAGTAGGTGCAAAGAACGCTGTGGGAGAACGGATCCTTGACCTAGCCACAGCTCACGACTTAGCAATCTACCACCTTGTGGCACCTTCTTCGCGAAAAGGAGGACTCAGAAGATAACCTACAGCAGTGGAGGGAGACAAACGGAAATCGACCATGTCCTGATCAGAAGATCGCTTCCCAAAACCGTCAAGATATCAAGCTACTGCCTGGGGAAGAGCTGCCTCAGCACAGGGTCTCTCCTGGCAGACATCGCCATAGAGCTCCTCAAGAAGACGAGGGTGAGAGCGAAGCGGAGGACTCGGTGGTGGAAAGTGGGCAAGGTAGAAAAGGATAGTCTCGGCCGAAGAATACTGGAGGCTAGGCTCCCAGACCCACATGGGCCAGTTCATGACACCTGGATCTACGCAGCAGAGGTCATCCTACACTGTGCAAGGGAGGTCCTGGGAGAGACGCGAGGTGGTATCAGAGGAGAAAAGGCAGCCTGGTTCTGGAACGAGGAAGTCCTGGGGATCGTCAAGCAGAAGATGGAAGCATATAAACGCTGGCAAAAGACAAGGAGCCGAGAAGACTACGCTGCCTACAAGAGCTGCATACGACTCGCCAAGGCTGCCGTTGCTAAGGCTAAGAATACGGAAATGGACGCACTGTACGAGAAGCTGGAAGGCCGAGAAGGGGACAAGTTTGTCTTCCGCCTGGCTAAAGTTCGGCATCGCACGGCTCAGGACAGCAGGGTCGTAAAGACTGTGAAGAGCAGCAACGAGGCCATTCTCAGGAAAACAGCCGAAGTCAGAAAGAGGTGGGAAGAATACTCCGAGGGACTACTGAACGAAGAATCCCCCCGCAAGGATAGCCCACAGATAGAGGCGACGGCAGGCATCATAACTCCCTGGACAGAGAATGAAGTCCGCCGTGAGCTAGGGAGAATGAAAGTTGGGAAAGCAGTGGGTCCAGACGGGGTACCGATAGAGGCATAGAAGGCCCTGGGAGAGCTTGGGATGAGTTGGCCAACAGACTTCCTAAACATCGTAACGGCTGAAGGAAGGATGCCAGATGCGTGGAAGAGCAGCACAATCGTCTCCATCTTCGAACAGAAAGGGGACGCGACGGAGTGCTCCAACTGACGCGGGACGTATCGAACCCATCGTAGACCGTCACTGCCAGAGCATTGAAAGGGTCGAGCATTTCCAGTACCTGGGGAGCGACCTAGCAGCTGATGGCAGCGTGGACCAGGCCGTGAAGACCCGAATCAACGCAGACTGCGTGAAATGGAGGGAGTCCACTGGCATCCTGTGCGACCGGCGGTGCTCGAGAACGCTCAAGGGCAAAGTGTACCGGGCGGTGGTAAGGCCTACAATGCTCTAAGGCAGTGAGTGTTGGCCTATCTGCAAGAACCATGAAAGGCAGCTCCACTCAGTTGAAGTGATGATGCTGAGATGGGCCTGCGGCTGGACACGACTTGACAGATTCAGAAACGAGGACATCAGGGCGGTCACACAGACGGCTCCGATCCAGCTGAAGGCACGAGAGCAGCGACAGCGATGGTGTGGGCACGTGCTGAGAAGGCCTGAGGACCACCCAATGAGGAAGGCATTGGAACGAAGCAGAGGGCAAGCGACCACGAGAAGCCCCAAAGAAAAGATGGAGGGATGTCATCAAGAAGGACCTCACTGAAGTGAAAGCCACGGCAGAAGATGCAGTGGATCGGAACAAGTGGCGACGTCTAACAAGAAAAGTGGACCCTGCGACGGCGCGGGCCTACGGTAGGGAGACGAAGAAGAAGCTGAGTGAGGCCAATGCTCTTGGGGTTTAGCAAACACTTTCGGTGAACACTTTCCAGTGAACACTTTCGTTCACGTGGACCACGAAGGCAACCGAACGAGACTTCTTGATCATTCTTAGATCTAAGGAAACTGATTCGCGTCTTATATCTTCGATATTCCTAGGGATGGCTACTTGAAACATCTCCACTACCCAATACACTGCGTCCCAAAAGTATATTTCCACCCATAAATCTCACAATATCCCTCCCTACTCAACGTTTTCAAAAAAAGCCCCTAGGTATAAAATGTGGTAATTGCCAGTACCAATTTGCATGCCAACTGACTTTCCAGAGCAATTCAACTTTCTTTATTTTTTGAAAATTTCTCACTCTGACAATGTCCAACAAGTATACTTCCACTAAACGAATCGATTCAGAAAACAACAAGTGTGCAAACAAATTTAATAAATCGTCATTTCAATAATCTATTGCAGCCCCATTCTTTCGAATAAGTTCGAAAATGCGGTTGTCCATGCTCGAATAGAGGTGGTCTATAAGTGTTTTTTCGACATAGTGCCATGCATCAATGATAGCCTCCTTGAGCGAAGGGACATTTTCGATTGTGCGCGTATATCCTGCGTACCATGAGCCCCAAACATTCTCGATGGGGTTTAGGTCTGGGCTATTCGCTGGCCAGGGCAAAAGAGTGATTTGATGACGGCTGAACCACGCTCGAGTGCTCCGCTGACATGGATTGGTGCATTGTCTTGCACGAGTACAGGACTTTCATGCCGTATCCTTCGCCGAAAAGGTAACAGACCTCGTCGCATTACCTCCACGTAGTCGGAAGAGGTCATTTTCTTCGATACGAAGCACAGCTTCAAACGTCCCCTTGATGCGATCGCAGCCCAGACCATGACACCACCCCCTCTGAAGTTCCGATTCGAAAAATTGAGCTCAGAGATCGTGCCAGTAGGATCTATTTCCATCTGGGCCGTCGCAGTTGAATTTCTTCCCTTCGGAAAACACGACCTAAAGAAAAAAAACTGAAAAGACAAGCACAGGGGCACCGCAGCCGCAGGCTAACCTTGCTCCAGTCGGTTCGGCAGCATCTTCTAGCAAAAGCAAGTCGGTTTTCGCGATGACGTTCTGTCAGGAACGGTGCCTTCCTCATTTTCTCTCTCAGGATGAACTCCGACCTCTTCAAGACACGCCAAACAGTATTTTTTCGAGACATTGAGCTTCAGGGATGACTTTATTTCCCTGCATGACATCGTGGAGTTGGACGCTTCTTTCAGGATACGACGTTTATCTCGTTCAGACAGCAAAGGAGGACGCCCAGAACTCTTCCTGATTCCATATTCTGCGGGATCCCTGTCAAAATGATTGATAACATAATGACTGCGGCCCAACTCTCTTGCGATTTGACGGTTCGACAGTCCTTGAGCCTTCTTTGCGATAATCTGCCCCTTTTCGAAGTCAGACAGTGAAAGCCCTCTCGCCATAGCCTGGAAAAGGTGAAAGGTAGTGATGATGCGAAAGTTTACCCGAATAAAAAAGAGACGCAATGGGAAAATATGCGGTAGAAGTATACTTGTGGGACATTGTTAGAGTGAGAAATTTTCAAAAAAAAGAAAGTTGAAGTTGCTCTGGAAAGTCAGTTCTCGGAGTTGGCATGCAAACTGGTACTGATAATTACCACATTTTATACCTAGAGGCTTGAAAACCTCGTGTAGGGAGGGATATTGTGAGATTTATGGGTGGAAGCATGCTTTCGGGGCGCAGTGTATGTGGCTGAGAGCTCTCGAATTTTCCTTTCCGAAACGTTTCCCCTTCAAGCCTCCAGTGAGCTACAAGTGCAAAAATGCTCAGCTGGTGATCGCCCATCAGCATCTCGCCCTACCCAAAGACGGGTAGACAATGTTCCGTCTTGCTACCAACCGGAATTAAGCCTTCGCAAAAGTGATTGTCTGAAGTTGAGCCTCCCAGTGAATAAGGGATATTATCCGAAGTACCCATTTCCCACGAGCAAGCATTGCGGAGGACTCGTTGTGTTAGAGGCGGTTGGCACGATAAATCCCCCAAGACGAGTAGGATTAATACGCCTGGCAGGACGGAATTCCGCAATCCTGAGCAAGCGCTGCTTGATGCTTTTCCAAGGGAGATGCCCTTATAAGGGCCCTATGCCACAACATCCCGACCCAGACGCCCGCCACGCCCACAAATGGACGACCGTTCCTGTCGCTCCAATCGATTCATTTGTTAAGCAAATTATGAAGCGAAGGGATTAGTATGAAAGGGCCATGATGCTGCATGCATATATGGGTACACATAAGCAGCCATATCTTCGGTAGTGGTTATTGGCAGGATGCCTACGGGGAAATTCGTTCAAAATTGACTTTCAAGTCATTGAGAACGTAGGCTCTTTCTTCGCAGGATTTTTACTGTTTCACTCCGTTCTTTCGCCATTTCCCAACTACATAGCGCCCTGCTAGCATTTTAGGCCGAGCACCAAATCATCGTGCCAACTGCTTTTGAGGGGATGTTTTGAAAGTCAGGCCTCAAGTAGCATTATCGTATCCGAGGAAAATTAAGCTCGACTAAGCTCAGTGATGCTCCAAAATACACAGTGGTAGAGCTCACTCATGCAGTGAAAACAACATTTCAAAACAGAGATATTCATTGAATTAACCTCCCAACGTTAAGCGAAACCAACCCTTCTGTTAAGAGCCTCAACCTGTTTGAGGCAATGCTATAAGGAACGTCACAAAAGAACTTGAAAAATTCTGAAAGATGTAAAGATACCATTGCTACTGAATACTAAACACTGTCATTGGATTCTACACCGAGGAAAAACTGCTCTTCCTACACATGGTTGAACCATGGAGTTAGCAGCTAGTATGTGCTCTGGTAATGGTAGCCCTTCATGAAGCCCAGGTGACCAGAAGTGTCGTGTCCCTTAAAGACACATTTTACGCTCAAACACATTGAGGGTGTATGAGAGTATCAGCCCCCCAGCTGTCAATGTGTTGTGGTCCCCCCGCCCAAAACTGCACGGGGTCAGAGTACGGGACCGTGGGAAAGTCGTAATTCCTTGCTACGCCGCCTGTTTTTGCAAACTCACCTTTTTACTAACACCGCCCGCGCAGCGCGGTCGCGTGCAGCTCTCTTGGCTTTTTGCCAAGTCCTGTAATTGCGCTTTGGAATACAAGTACAACGCAATTTCTTTATGCGGATAACATTTTAGGTTCTACAAAATAAGAACTGAAGATGATGACGAGGGCTAGAACTCAAGAGCAACTGTGCTGCTTCTGCAACACCCCTCGCAGGCCGCGCATTCCCGCAAAACATCAAAATAACAACGACCTGAGCGTCCCACTCGTTAGTTTGAAGTATTTCTATGGCATTAGAGCCGGATTCGAGCCGGATCGCAGAAATGCACACGCGATTTTAAATTACTGCGTTTCCTTAGTTTTTTTCCAATTATGTTTTATTTACATCTACATTCGTCGTTGTTCGTTTCTAGCCTTTGTCATCTTGATCACCTTCTGTTCGGACTTCGAAGCATGAGCAATACCTCAAATGTTGGGAAATTGCGTTTTGCTTGTATTGTCATGTTTTATTGTCATGTTGTCCGTTTTTATTGCCATGTTCTGTGGGAATGCGCGGCCTCTGAGGGATATTGCAAAAGTACCTCAGTTGCTCTGAGTTCTAGCCCTTGTCATCATCTTCGGTTCTTATTTTGCAGCACATAAAATGTTATCTGCATAAAGGAATTGCGTTGTACTTGTATTCCAAAGTGCAATTACAGGACTAGGCAAAAAGCCAAGAGAGCTGCACGCGGACGCGCCGCGCGGATGGTGTTAGCATAAACGTGAGGGCGGTGTAGCAAGGAATTACGACTTTCCCACGGCCTCTGACCCGTGCAGTTTTATACGGGGGGATCACGACACATCGACAGCTGGGGGGCTGATAGTCTCACACACCCTCAATGTGTTTGAGCGTACCATGTGTCTTTAAAGACAGCACGATAAGTCCCCCAAGAGTATGATTGACACGCCTGGCAAGACGGAATTCCGCGACCCTGAGCAGCGCTGCATAGCGCCTTCCCCAAGAAGGTGCCCTTATAAGGACCCTATGAAGCCACAACACGCCGACCCGAACGCCCGCCACGCCCGCCCGCCTGCAAATGAACGACCGTTCCTGATGCCCCCGTACTGCTTCATTTGCTAACAAGTTAATGGTTTGAACTTCCCATGAAACTTTGAATGGAGACTTAGGTACATCGATAGAGTCCCGAATGCTGATTACAAATATGCAGATTAAAAGTGCTACGGGGACCTCCCAGACTAGTTCTGGGCATTCAAAATTTGCGAAATACCGGTTTTGTCTCGTAAGCGCTGCTGATCGCTCATTGGCCCGTGTCACCGTGGCCTAGCGGTGGTGGTCTCACTTCTAAGCGAAATTCTCGTGGGTTTGCACCCCGTTGGCGTGAAAACTCTTGCTTTAGCTCCTATAAGAGCTTTCACTGAAATTTTCGAAATTGCTCCGAGTTTACGGCCCAGCAGAGCAAGTAGATCAAGTAGATCAATATTGACGTACTCGATCATGTATGGATTTGATCGCTATCTGTCCTCTGTGAACTTATTACCCATCCGACAATTCGAAGTTTTGGCCACAATCACGATTTGGCCAAAAACTCGTGTCTGGGGGTATTTTGCCCCCCTGAAAACGGATATTTGCTGTGGTCATCAACTGAACATCAACTGAACGAGGGAACGATCGTTTTCTCGCCAAACGAATATGATATTCGTTTTCAGGGGGACAAACAGGAACGAGTTTTTGGCCAAATTGTGATTGTGGCCAAAACTTTGAATTGTCGGATGGGTAATAAGTTCAGAGGGGACAGATAGCGATCAAATCCATACATGATCGAGTACGTCAATATTGATCTACTTGATCTACTTGCTCTGCTGGGCCGTAAACTCGGAGCAATTTCGAAAATTTTAGTGAAAGCTTTATAGGAGCCAAAGCAAGAGTTTTCACGCCAACGGGATGAATACCCACGAGAATTTGGCTTTGAAGCGAGACCACTACCACTAGGCCACGGTGACAGTGGCCAGTGAGCGATCAGCAGCGCTTACGAGACAAAAGCGGGATTTTGCAACTGACCGACCAGAAATCCTGTGGGAGGTCCCCGTAGCACTTTTAATCTACATATTCGTAGCCAGCATTCTAGACTCTATCGATGTACCTAGGTCTCCATTCAAAGTTCCATGGGGTTTTTAAACCAATCCTTGTAAGTAAATTATGAAGCGAAGGGATTGGCATGAAGCGGCCATGATGCTGCTTGGATGTGTGAGTGAGTACACATATGCAGACGTACATTCGGTAGCGGTTATTGGCAAGCCTACGAGAAACTCGTCCAAAATTGATCTCTAATACATTGAGAACGCAGGCTGCTTCTTCGCAGGATTTTGACCGTTTCACTCCGTTCTTTCACCATTTCCCAACTATACAGTGTCCAACTGGCATTTTAGGCCAAGCACCAAGTCATAGTGCCAACTGCCTTTGAACAGCATCAATAGCCACTCATATATTAGACGAGACTGCTTAAAAGACTGAAATTCTCTTTTTTCAGGATAGTCTAGCAACTAAAGTTGAACAAACTGTGCGTGATCTCACCTTGGCCGAACGATATGAAGCTATTGGACCGATGTATCGCCTGATCATCCCTACGTTTGAAAAACTCGACAACTTTAAGGTAACTGACCATCTTACTCCGTGCCCCTCTGTCTTTCATTGCTGCATGTAGCCTCAACGTTTAATAGTTCAGTGCAGTGATTCCACACAACTTCGAGGCAGCATGCAGCATATGACAGCTTGTTGCTATGTTTCTGGTTTGCTTCTTTACTAACCAGATCGCTGAGAGTTTAGTGCACGTGTGCGAATGAATTCCTTACATACGACAAACAGAGTCAACAAATGAATTCTTTCTCATAGTCAAGTAAGACCCCCGTGAGAAACAGCGGCCCTAGCGAATAGCAACAACGATGTNTTTAAAAGTCTTAACGCCTCTGTGCGTCGCGGTCGCGTCACGGCGTCAGCGGAGCGCGCCATTGGTCAGTGGAGTTTGGAGACTCCAGCAGTGTTCGCCTGTATGTGAAAGAAGAGAATCTCGTTTTTCTGTCCACCAGTAAGTTGAGTGTGTTCATTAAGCTAGACCAAAGAAGCACACGAACCTCATACCTGGTTCCCCTTGAGGAGTGGTGCGAGGTGAGTCTTCGGCAGAGTGGGTGTATGGGGAGGCTTCGCGCAACTGAGTGCTGAACTGTTCGCTTTAGGCTACCCAGGGGAGATGAACAGCGAGAATACCACTGAGTTCAATCCATGAAAACGATCGAAGGTTCGAAATTGTTCTACTTTTCCGTTTCGGTGGTGCTTTTCCAACATGCGTTGGCGAGATACTTTAGTCCTTTTTTCTATTTGTTTGAAGCTGATGCCTTTTTCCGTCTGCATGGTGCTATGAACAAACGCTGTAGAGAAAGATTGGGCTGAAACAGTGTGGATGCAATGGTGAGGGCGTACTTAGTAGCTCGCATAGTCAAGTGTCGAGCATTGAAGGCTACTGGTTACCCATAATAGGTGCTGCGAAAGCAGTTCAAAGTTCATGAAGTGTTCGGTTAGGGCAGTCCTAGAACTGCTTATACCGGCTCGACACTTCACAAGTAGGCCGTGCAACTTATAGAGTTTGAGGGCTACGTGTTCAGGTGAGCCAGAAGCATTACGTCAGACATCCGAAAACCTCTCGCTGTTCCGAACGTTTTCACACTAGGTTTTCTCAGTAGCCTAAATTCTCTGGAAGATCACTCACAAATGTTAGCCTAATGCTGAAGCTGCTTGGTGAGAGGCTTTCA